TAAGCTAGCTAAAAGGAACATTTACCTAGCTTGAGCTAGCTGATTGTTCCTCTTTAGCTAGCTTAAGCTAGATCCCATTTTGCTTGGGTTGTTTCTTCATCCACGCACACAAAAACTGGCAAGATATACAATAGAATTGTTACTAAATTAGTTTTCATGTAACTACTATCGGCACTTAGAAGCAGTGCCGGTGGTTATTTGTTGATAACTTTTGATAGAAAAGCGATAGAGACCTGTGGTTTTCAGCAATTGACAGAAGACACTTGAGACTAACTTTTCAAAAATATAGTTAATGTGAATAAAATTCCAGAGACTGGTCTCCTCGAAGATCTTAGAAAAGTCAACTCGGATTTTCCCAAACAAAAATAGTAATCTATCGATTTTTTTCATAGGTAGATAGGCTAAAGTATCCTCCACAATTTTAGATCTAAGTAAGCTCTTACTTTCGTTTGGTTTTGGAGAGGGTCGAGTTTTTCCGGAACCTACAGGTTTTAGAGATCTTAAGGTGTGGAGACCTCGAAAAGACATGTGACATAAATAATCGAGTGCGCTGATCTTCATGGTGATATCTATTTTCATGCCCGAAATCCTGTTTTCGTCTGCAACCATGCAAAATTAAAATCACTCTAATTCTCTTTAAGTCGGATGAATTACATTCCAAAAATCAAGATTTCATGAAACTGGCTAAAGCGAAGTTTGCTGAATTTTTAAACTAAAATAAATATTGCCTCAATAATAAGTGAGATGGATGACCTATGATTCAAGGTTTTTTGAAGTTACCAAATCTCAAGGTTTGGAGATAGGTAGACCCTCGGAAATCCAATTTTTCTAGACCAAACCAAGCAAAAGTAAGGGATCGCTTAGATTCAGTTTGTAGAAGATCCTTTGGACTATAGATCTAAGAAAAAACATCGATAGATGCCCATTTTAATTTCCGGAGATCCGAACTTATTTTCTAAAGATCCTCTGGATACTATCCCGGTTGCTAAGTTTTTCAAAAGTAGTTTTTGCTTAGGAAAACATGTCCTAAAGTCTTGGCTTTTGAATATTGAGAACCGTAGACCTCTACTGCTTTTCTATTAAAAGTTACTCAACAAATAACCACCGGCACTACTTTTTGAAACCGATAGTATTTTCTAATTTATCAAATTAGATAAATACTCGGTACACTTCCACCGACCATCAGTGTTGTTTCAAATTTAAATTACACTGCAGTGCCTGAATCAACAACTTTTCCTGTACAAATATAGAATACAGCTGAAGTGTATCGAATCAGTCATAGCTGTTACTCATTGTGCTTCTTCTTCGTTTGTAAAAAAACAACTGTATATGATAGAATGGATACAGATATCATGCATGTCGATGAAAAAAATTAAGAATGACACTGTGCACACATAATACACTGGTCTGTGTCTAGTGTAAAAAAGTCTATTGAAACTGTATATAGGAACAAATACATATGCGTCTTTTGGGCGAAACAAAAAATAAACGTAGTGCCTTTTGATAAAAGCAGTCGAAAAGCCCGTAAGATAGATCGATCAATGCAAAAAGCAAAGGTTTATTGTTCATTATTGATTAACGTTTGAAAATAGGAAGATTGTCGAAACTGAAACTATCGAAAAACACAAAAGCAATACTGTGCTTAAAGGCCTCCCTCTCAGAATGAAATCTTTTTGTATCAAAAAAGCAAGAGATTAGAGCAAGCGCATGTAAAGATAGCCTGGAGTGTCTACTTTCAAAATCTATACTGCTTTCGAGTCTACAACTGGGTTTTGATCGTTTTCGAGCGAGCTTTCTAGAAGCCTTGAAAATCAGGGTCTCCAAACAATAACTTGTTTCTGGACACTTAAGCAAATAAAGTTTTTTCTGAACATGTATACTCGAAAATAGGCATTAATCGGTTATTCCACCTAATATAGATTTCCACTAGATTTTTGGAGATTTCCTGAAAAACAAATATTGCCATGAAATTAAGCGCGATTGATTACCTATATTTTCATTATTTTCGGAATTACCACACCTAAAGAAATATTAATCCAGGGGTCCTTGAGAAATCCGATGCTACGCCTGAACCGCGAAAATCTAAGAGTTCGCTTGGTTTGCATTTTGGAGAGGATACCTTAGACTATCTATCTATAGAATATGTTATCTCAGTTTCAGAAGATTCGAAGCGCTTTTCCAAACCTCCGTAGTTTTTATCCTTTTGGAGTTATTCGAAAAATAACCGAGTGCCTTGAATGTTGACACCGACAATAGAGAACGTCAGAAAATAATAGAGAATTCGCAATCCTTACCTAACATAGATGACCTGAACTAGTGAGAGAAAAGATAAACATCGTAAGTCTATAGCCAGTTTGAAGACATTTTTCATACCGAAATAGTAAAGAATAATTCAGTGCAACGAGAATGCCAATTTTCCATGATGTGGTATTCTCGATTTGTTCGCGATTCTCAAATTCTCCATTTGCTATACAATTTTCGATTTGCACAATTCTCAACTTCTCAACCTCACAATTTCTCAATTTGCAAAAATTTTTGACTTCTGAGTGTTCGTTATTCTCTGATTATTGACGAACGCGGTGTTCGTAGTGAGCGTAAATGTGTGAAAAAATGAATTTGCGGCAAATGCAAATTCTGCATAAGGTCTCATTGAAGGTAAAAGAAATATTTTTTGAAATTCCAGGTGAAATAATCAAACCGAGATTGGCTGCAGCACTAGCACTATGTTTACCGTCACATACCAAGATATATAACGTTTATGGTGCAAGTGAATGTGGTATTGTGTCTGTGTATAACATTAAAAGTGCTCCTGAACTAAACACAGCTGTTATTGGAAGTCCATTACCGAATTATCAATGTTATCTATTAGACGATAACATGCACCATGTTACTGTTGGTGAAATAGGCGAAATTTTTATTAGTGGTACGTACAAATGCAGTTAGTTTCCTTCAAAAGGTTAAAGAACCACGTTTTCAGGTCCTGGTGTATTCAAGGGCTATTCAGATCCAACTTTAACCGAAAAAGCACTGGTTTCTATACCAGGTATCAAAGAAAAGTGTTTTCGTACAGGTGATTTAGCTCAGTTCAGTATAAGTGGTGAACTGACCTTCAGTTCACGAAGAGATTTTCAAATAAAACTTCGTGGTCAAAGAATTGAAGTGGGGGAAATCGAGAATGTCATTTTAGCATCACTAAATTGTATATCAGACTGTGTCGTTACAAAACAACATGATGATATAATAGAAGAAGATTATTTAATTGCATATATTATCACAAGTAATAAAACGATGATCCCTGAATTAGAAACACATGTAAAACAATTTTTACAATTAAATGTACCATCATACATGATTCCATCAACATTTATGATATTAGACAAATTACCTTTGAATTCAAATGGTAAAATTAATCGCAAGAAACTACCACAACCCGGCTATTCAACTCACAAAGCGCAACATCACAATGGTGAAATACCTTAACAGGTGTTAACATGTTGCCTAATATTTTCTTTTCAGCAGGATATCAATCTCGAGACCAAACATTAAAATAAATTTTAGAAAACTTTCTTTACCATTGAGTGCATCTTACAACGTTGATTTATATACTGTTTGAAAATATTGTTGCTTAGTAAAACATACTGTTACATTATACACTTCGAATATGTATCGAAGAGTACTTTTTTAGAATACGAAAACTACATCTAAAAATCTGCCTTTGCCTTATTATTATTTGTTTTAGAAGGAATTCGCTACAGTTTTTTACTGGAAGTTCTGTAATCTGACTCAGTTGCCCTAGTTCTTCAATGTCTCTCACAGTTTACCTGTACAACAAGAACAGAGTGTCTCTACTTAACGATAAAAACACTGCATTGAAACTATAGAAAAGCCAGACATAAATTTTATCTGATGGGCATATTTTCATCTCCAGATAGTACACTTAATAGTCTGAAAAAATAGAATGGCCGAAATAGATAAACAACCAGCAATAATAATAAAATGTTCAGATCCTGTTGGATACAAAACAATCAAGTGCTTACCAATTGAATCTAACATAAAAGGTTATCCAATAAATATATTATTTGCATACCACAATGCAAGCAATGATAAGAACTTTATGCCAACACAGCTGTTACAAACGACATTAACTGAAGCATTAAATCATTTTCAAACATTGACTGGTCGCGTCGTAGAAGATGAACATGGAAATGCAATCGCTCACTTAACAAACGAAGGTATCTTATTTACTGAAGCTACCTGTTCAAAAAATTTGGATTATTTTTTACCCGTAAAGTCAACATCAACATTCGATTATACAAATATAAATCAAACACCATCACTTTCAACATATGTTTGTTGTGATGATTGGTCCGGTCATTGTATGTCGGTACAGTTAACACGTTTAGAATGCAAGAGTGTTATTTTATGTGTATCAGTATTTCATTGCTTAATGGATGCTCATAGTATGGCACAATTTATGAAAGTATGGTCGGAAAAACAAGACTGGCCAAATATTTTATGGATGAATAAAGCATTTATTAGCTCAGAAGAAAATTTTCGACGTCCGCTGAATTGTATTTTTAATAAAAGTAATCCAGAAAAGCAGAATCAACAGCAACAGCAACAACTTGAAGAAAAAGAACAAAAAACAATCATCACAAAGGTCCACTATTTTTCATCTGAAGAAATACGAACTATAAAGAAAGAAGCATCTCAAAGATTGTTATCGAATAGATATATTAGTAGTTATGATGCATTATACTCACATTTATGTCATGTGATATCTAAAGCAACACAAACTGATCTAGAACCATCATTCAAGATCTGTCAGTTTTTCAATGGTCGTCGTTTATTTGAAAAAGACGAATATTTTGGTTCACTTGCATTTTGGTTATATGAACATGTAACCAAATGTGCCATCCACCAACTATCGTTATCGAATTTAGCTAATATTATCCATGATATGCACGAGAAACAAACAATTAATACTTTAACTAAATATAATTCTTATTTGGATACTGGTATCACAATAAGATCAAACTATATTGATGCTGATATTATTAATTCTGATTATCATGCTACATCATGGAGAAATTTTGGTTTTTATAATATTGATTTTGGTTATGGGAAACCTATGTATACAGGGCCTACAATACAACTAAATCAAAGATATATGACTATCATGGACACACTGTTGAATGACGGATCAATTTATGTTATTCTAGGATTAAAACAAGAAGATTTTCAGAGAATGATAGAACAAAATTTGTTGCACAAATATGTATAGTAGGTCTGTCACTTTCTAACTTCATAAATATATGATTTTATGCATTTCTAAGTAGTCCAATATGTGGACTCAGGCGTTCGTTGGGCTTTTAGAGATCAAAATCCTAAGTTTCTGACTACTTTCGTAGCGTTAAAAAAAAATCTAGTATCGCCCGATTTATCTAGGTTACTAGATTTTTACTCCATTCCCAACTACTGTGTAGCGACAGTGGAAATCTAGTAATTGGGTGATTACTAGATGTTTTGTAGTTGCAACTATCTATTTATCGTCCTATAATCGATCGATTTAACTATTGTTAGATGCACATGCAGGCGCATCGAGTTAAAAGTCCTTTTTTCAACTAGTAATCTAGATTGCAACTAGTCATGTATCGCCCAATTATAGACGAAATGTATCTAGATTCTTCTCATAGGTGATGTTTGCTTGGGCTAATTTCATCTTTTCAAAATACAAGAGCTTTAATTAAGAAAAGAACGTGTTTTTATTCAGCGGACAAAATTTTAAGCAATTTTTCATTATTTCACTATATTTTTAATATACAAATATAAAAATACATTTTTTTCTATGAAAAATGTCTACTTTTAATATAAGCTTTATTGTCTCAGGATACAAAGGGTAATACATTACAATTATAGTATTTTAAACTAAAATTAAGCGAAAAATACAAAATCAGTTTTGCCTGTAAACAATCATATATTCTTGTTAGCAACAATTCAATTTGATTTTATGCATAAAGGCACAGTCCAACATACATTCTCGATTTACGTAAATGATTTTTAACTATCAGAGTCTCAAATACTTTTGATCGGTTTTATAACAAAAGTCTGTTTTATCCTTTATTTATAATTTATCACATTCAAAGCGAAAAATAACTGATGGAGAAAAATAGTGTGATGATCTCACAAAAGCTAAAAGTAGGCAGTGTGGAGGAAGTCATTTCTTATCAGACTTCTCCGTGAATAATCCCTTGACAACGCGTGATGAGTCACGAGCAAGAAAAGCGCATTCCAACTGTTTTTGAACATGATTCTTTTCGCATTTGTAAAGACGAAACGGTTCTACTTCAGCCATTTTATTTATCTCAAATAACTGTGGTGTGTTAGAATCATCGAAATACAAATTTACATACTCTAACGAGGAAATCTCTCGAAGTGATAAAAAGCTTTTGGATTCGGACTACTTTTATCTTGTAGATCTTAGTGAGTAGTGAAATACCCTAAGTTGGTTCGTGCCCTTAATGCTTTGTGGGGAAGTTATAACTATTTCAAGTTTTCATCGAAAAACACAATTTTGCTCCTGAATCTTTGATTTCTCACTCAACAACGTCTGGTTATAGTGACCGTATTTTGCTAAAAGTTTGAGGTCTGTCGTTCAATGGCTTCGACAATTTTCGAAAATTCTTTAAAATTTGGTGTTATTGCGTTTGAGTTTGCTCCGAGACGGAAATGTTTAT